AATCAGATCCCCTAACTCTCTTTTTTCAAAAGTAAAACAATTTGAGAGATTTCAACCTCTCCTCCTATGACATCTCTCCATCCCAGACATCATTCTATTTAATTCTAGTAACCCTTCTCTGAACCCTTTACAACAATTCCATGTATTTCCTAAAATAATGAGTCCAAGACTGAACACAATATAAGGAGGCTTTAATTTAAAGAGTAAGGAAGAAGTGAAGCTACTCTCGATCTCATTCAAGTCAAAACGTAAAAAATCAGACTTACAATTTCTCTGTGCATTTCTCTATTTATGCTTGGTGTTACTTTCATCGACCCAACAAATATAAAAAATAACCCCAAAAACACAGATAGCGTGGTTAACACAATCGATTTCATTGGAGACAATTTACGATAGTAATTCGCTGTCTTAAAACTTAAAGTTTAGCTGCACAATAAACTTCCTAAACACAAAGTTATAAGACAACGATAATACACTTTTGAATAGTTATTTCCAAAACGATCGGAGAGTAGGTGTCGGTGTTCGATTTGGCTTTAGTATTTAAAAAGTATGAAAAACAAAATGAAACAAAGGAGAGAAAATATAGTTATTTTTTTATAATAGAGAATATTTTCTACTAAAATACCTTAGATAATTTTCTGAGAGTAATAAAATTCTTTTGATATAGTAAAGCTTTTTTCATATTTTCAGGCAATTTACATTTTGCAGCGATATCAAATTATATTTTGTTTTTGTTCATCAAACAAATCAAATATCGTTTTGATAATAAAGTTAGTAAAAACTACATTTACTGATGAAACCACAATGGCGAAACATTGGCTGAAATTTTAAAGTTTTTTCTTATAATCTGGAAAGTAAAGGTACTTTTTTTTACTGACTTTATTTCTAAAATATCTAAATCCCTTCAGTATACACTACAAATTCTAAACAACAATAAAATAGTTACATCAAATATCAGTTGCTTAGTGAAGGTGTAAAATCTTAAGGAACGATGAAGATATAAATTTTTTCTTTGAATTTTAAAATTATAAATTGTTTCCGCAATATTTTTGATATTATTTATAGTAGCGAATGTTAAGTTTTCCTTCTTTCAGGCAAACAATTTAGGCCCTTGAAGATAAAACATAATGTTTATACTTCATTTTTCATCGCCATCGCATTTTCATTAAATAATGTGCTATCGAGAATATTTTTCATTCTGTATGTTCTTCATGAGGTTATATTGCTGTCGTATATAAACATACGTTTTTACCTTCTTATATTAATATAGTATTACTCAAAATGTATTAGATATTTTCAGAGTGTGTAGTTTTCAAATAACACGAGATCAAGAAAGTCGTAAACTTGATTTCGTTCTAGTTGCCTTTGTTCATTTTCATTCTATTTAGATCACATCTGGTATGCCAATAGTTGACTAACTGTAATGCTGTACGTTGTGCAATAATATAGACAGCAATGTAGGTCAGGTGATATCTCGAAGTTGCAGCCTCCCCTAGACTTGTATGAGTATGACCAGTCAAATGGGAACGCTATTCGCTCTGGGTAAATCCGAGTTACTGGGGAAGTTGTGATATGGAATCATATAAAAAAATTCTGCTTATTTGAATTATTTAATAATTTTGTTTATTTCTTTGTTCTCTGTAGTAGATAATGTCTATTCTGACTGAGGGGTTATTGCAGCAATATAGCATCTGTATTGAAATGATCAGCAGTTGTTCATGTAGTATTCTTTGCTGGCCAAATTGATAACGTCTGAAAGTAAGGAACACTGAATTTAAACAGCCTGGGAGGTGATCTCAGCCTAATCAGTCTGAGAGAATAGTTCTAATCCAATACAAAAGACAATCATCATGCGAAGCAAGTACATACACTATTTTTGAGTTATGTTCCAATAAGGATTGTAATATGTATATTTCACAATATCTACAGTTTCTTCATTTCGTTATCAGGAACTCAAGTATTCAGAAAAAGTCAGTATTACTCTGTAATAGATAATTTATCGGATCTCCTGTTAATCAGCAGGCTTATCCTAATACTCTATGAATGATTAATTTTACCTGGATTAACCATATTGCAAAATTTTCATGCATTTGCTTCTTATAAGTCTTCCTCTTTGTCTACCATTTTTATCACTTGATGGCAGGCCTCGCATGGTCTGGTGGTTTGAGAGCTCATCTAGCAATCTGCGGGTCGCGGATTCGTATCCCCGTCACCGAACTTGCCCGTTTAGCCATGGGGGCGTTATAATGTGATGGTCAATTCCACTATTTGTTGGTAAAAGAGTAATCCAATAGTTAGTGGTGGGTGGTGCTGACTAGCTGCCTTTCTTCTAGTCCAGGGTTTGGCAACCTGCGGCTCTTTAAGAAGAATTGTGCAGCTCTCCAGCTTTACTCTTACTGTGAAAAAAAAAGTAGAGAATCTTTCAGGCATATTGGGTGCAAAAAAACTTAATCTCAACCAAAGTCGCTCTTTTAACATTCTAGCTAACTCCTCAAATGCCTTAGAAAGCGAACCCCTGATTTTAGTGTTGTGAATCTGAAGACTTGCCGCTGTCCCACTGGGAACCTTTTTTTCTCTCTCTCTCTCTCTTTTTCAGGTCAGACCATTAGGGCATATTTCAGCTCTCAAAATGATTTGGTCTTAGACAAAAACAAAAAAAGTGACTCTTCTTTGAAAGGTTGCTGACCCCCTGCTCTAGTCTAGTCTATCATTGCTAAATTAGAGATGGCTAGCGCAGATAGCTGTGAGTAGTTTTGCGCAATTTAAAAACAAAAACAAAAAACACTTGATAGTTTTTAAAATGATTAATTCGTATGTTATTTCAAGCACTAAAATTTAGGTTTTATATATTCTGTTCATAAACATTTCCAAACAAGGTTTTATATATTCTGTTCATAAACATTTCCTAACAAGGACGTAGTACTAAATTACAGTAGAGGAGTCCAAATTCTAAACACTTTAAATACATGTACTTAAGATAATCAGGAGAATAAGACTGCCAGGGGGTTAATATTTTCGTCCTCTTCATTAGTAATATTTAGCTTTTTGATAGATATTTATAAATTACACTGAAAAAATACATGAACTTAAGATCATAAAGAGGATAAGACTTCCAGGGGCTGAGGTTTTCGTTCTCTTCATTAGTAATATTTAGCTTTTTTGATACATATTCATAAATTACACTGAAAAAATACATGAACTTAAGATCATAAAGAGGATAAGACTTCCAGGGGCTGAGGTTTTCGTTCTCTTCACTGGTAATATTTAGCTTTGTGATAGATATTTATAATCTACACTGATAAAAACTGCTGACGGTTTACTTGTAATAAACATCACAAAAGCTGACAAGCAGCTGTTGCCCATAATGGTCACACAACATTTAATTGGAATTATTCCTTCTTCAGTACTCAAATTTATCAAAACGTACTTGCATCAGCATCACCCTCTTAAGGTAAAGATAGTAAAATACGTTTTGACACCCGAATAATATTGGACATGATGTTCCAAAAACCCACATATATGTTCGATTCGCCTCATAAACTGTCATATTTTCAGATATATATAGGTGTTGTCCATGTAAATAAATGTATGTATAAATATATAAATGTGTGTGTGTGGTCAGATAAAGCTATATTTCATCTTCGAAAACATGATGCCTTTCTGTAATTTAAAGTTTTAGTTTTTCTACAAATGTTTATAAGAGCAGCAAAGAATATAGATAGTGTTCACTGTGAGAGTTGCATTTTTTCTTTTTAACTACGAAAATTAAGGCAAGAATGTAAGTCTTGGGTAAAGCCTGGAAATGAAAATCTTGTAACACAAAAGTTTAAACGTGATGTATATTTCTATATATTTATGGTTCGATGATGTGTACGCTGCTGAGACTTCAATATATATATATATATATATATATATATATATT